AGAAAATAAGTGAAAACACCCATGCTAAAGTTGACTAAAAAGAGGAATAAAAAATCTTAATGCCTTAATTTAAAAAATGTGGAAAACTCCAACCTTTAGGGAAATGAATAATGTCCCTGAATTCTTTGTGAATGAATAATGTATCGCAAATAATTAAATGTTCATGGTTTTATTTCAGTTCAAAGTTAGAGTTGGAAACATCTTGAAAAGAAAATAGTCTTTTTCCATAAATGTCTTAGTTTGATCATACATATTTCAAAGTTGAGGATTCATTATTTTCATATAGCTTGCATTGGAACAAACATCTTAGTTGATTAGTTTATTGACAAAACATAAGCTTATTTGATGTCTTTATTTTGAAGCTGATTTTAAGCTTATTTGATGCTTATTTGATTTGAAAAACTTTATCCAAAACTAGTCAAAAAAATGTTATTTTATTTCGTCTGTAACAGTGCGTATCTGTGCGTTCATTCATTCATTCACACACACACACACACACACACACACACACACACACACACACACACACACACACACACACACACACAGAAACATGATTCACAAAACAGTAGGCTATGCTATTTTTCCGTTTACAGACACTAACGTTATTCTATATCGCGATTAGAACAAAGCACAAAACACTTACACTTCTCAGCTGAATCTGTTGCTCCTCCTCGAAGTGAAACCAGCACTTGTTCTGTGGTAAATGTCCCAGGATTATTCCTCATAGCCGCGCAAGACGAATCTTAATCTGACTAAAATATATAGTGCGTTTACAGCATTTGCCTGGGGGCGTTTATCTATTTTGCAAATGGCCTCAACACATTATCTTATGAATAGCGCGCTCTGCGAGTGGGTGTGAACAAATTAACGATAATGAGCTGAGACAGGAGAAACTGTACTTCTCTTTAGTTTCAGACAGATTACATTGCAGGAGAATATTTGTTTTAAATTTGAATTGTTTTATTTAAAAGTAGAAATTTAAAGCTTTCTTTAGACGTATATGTTTCATGTTTGTGTGATAAGTATTAGCGGAGTTTCCGTTCATTTTCCAGACATGTTTCAGAAAGATTTTTGCGGAGACAGAGTGAGCTGAAAGCGCACCCTGTTTATTTTATTTATTTAAAAAAAAACACAAGGTTTTGATGTTAATGTGAGTGTACACAAAAAAAGAAGACCCTCTATAGTTTATAATCATGTATTGATTTTATTTATATGACCATAAATGACGGAGTATTTAAGTCTATGTTGCTGCTATGTGAAAAAAAAAACAGCAAAACGCGCGGGCGCGTTCTTGGTCCCCAGAGGGTTAAAGCTCAAATCTGTGGTTTATTTATAAAGATAGCGCCTATTTGAAAAATGTATCTGACGTTTTCGGAGTTGTGAGATCCAGGCGTTCACCGGGTGTTCAACGCTCATCAACCCCGACTGGAACAGCTTTTCCTCGGCTAGTGCTTCTGTCGTTTGCCGCTGGCTCTGATGTCTCTAGTCTAGTGGATAAATATGACGTATAATTCGGCTTGTGTATAAGTCGATCTTTGGTCTCATTAATCTATAGTTTGTTCCATGGCAAAACATCGTTTTGGCTGAGGGCAAAGTGAAGTTTCATAACTTTATTTAGGCTATTTAACTTTAACGTTGCAGCTTAGAGAGCTTACTTATGTTTGACTGAATTGTTTGCTTTATTTCTCATTGTAGCTTCTATACCTTTTAGGCTAGATATTATTGATCATTAAAACTGACATTTAACAAAAACAATCAAATAAAATGACACAGCCCTGTCTCTGTTTGTTAAATGTCAATAAAAATGTCAATAATGTTTCATATTTTTTAAATAAAAACAAAAAGATCATGTTCATGTTGTTATAAATATATGCAGTGAAGATAATCAATGTACACGTTGCCTGAACCACATGGCCATAGGCTAATATGTTTAAGAATTATTTTAATGAAAAGAGGCAGAGTGGTGTTTTATAACAGATTTCGTTTTACTGTTGACGGAAAGAGGCAGAGTTGTGACTTGTAGCATATTTCGTTTTATTGTTGCCTTAAATATACATAAAGAGATAACCGGAGTAGCCAGAGCGAGCTGAGTGACGCGATCAAGAACGCACTTTTCCATTTGCAGAATAACCAGACTCGCGTCCTCTCGTCCTCGGGAGTTCGTTCTCCTGAGTCGAACTTGGCAAGTCCGAAGTTTGCGTACTTGGTATTGAGAAACGGCCAATGTTTGAAGAGAGTGTGTGTGTCAGTCGCCGCGCCGGTGTCGATACTGGCATTCAGAATCACAGATTATTCTTTTTGGAAGTATGAACAACATAATAATTTTCAGCAGAAAATGTCTGAACTAGTAAGAAACATCCACTTTTGTTCTGGTTCTGACATTGCAGTAAATCGCGCTGATTAAATCTAACAATCGCTTATAAGTTATCATATCATGCAAAACCGTGCAAATTATACTTTGTTCTCAAATTGTTAATGTTAACAGCGTAAGCAAGCATTGCGTGACTACATGTAATGTCCTTCCGATATTATCCTTGTTTTCGCATGGGTCCGGTTAAAGTCTCTCTGTAGCCGCTCCGAAGTCCGAACGAAGTCTTCTGCATGTTACAGCGGGTGAATCTGTGGTCACTGGTGATCGTCGTTTGAACCTTTCTGGATCCGCCATCAAATTGATAAGTTTAATTATATCAAGTGCTGTGAGAAAAGGCCATAAATCTCCACCTCCAACATCCTCACACACAATATAGCCTACTAGCCGAGACTCTTCTTTATGTGGACAGATGTGTGTGTGTGTGTGTGTGTGTGTGTGTGTGTACAGATGTGTGAGGACAGATATGTGTGTGTGTGTGTGTACAGATGTGTGTGTGTGTGTGTGTGTACAGATGTGTGAGGACAGATGTGTGTGTGTGTGTGTGTGTGTGTACAGATGTGTGTGTGTGTGTACAGATGTGTGTGGACAGATGTGTGTGTGTGTGTACAGATGTGTGTGTACAGATGTGTGTGTACAGATGTGTGTGGACAGATGTGTGTGGACAGATTGGACGTGTGTGGACAGATGTGTGTGGACAGATGTGTGTGTGGACAGATGTGTGTGTGGACAGATGTGTGTGTGGACAGATTGGACGTGTGTGGACAGATGTGTGTGGAGAGATGTGTGTGTGGACAGATGTGTGTGTGGACAGATGTGTGTGTGTGTGTACAGATGTGTGTGTGTGTGTACAGATGTGTGTGTGTGTACAGATGTGACGTAATGACGCAAAGACATGCTCGAATCTCCCGCTGAAATCCACCAGTACCACTGGAATTAAAAACATTATTACAAGCTTACCGCTTTGAATCGAGCTACGGCAAGCAGAGAGTTTTGAACACTGGCTGGTTATGTATTTTCTCAAATATGTATTTTGGATAATTTTTAACCCCAAAAACTGCAGCATTAAAGGTCCCGTATTATGCCCCTTTTCACAAGATGTAAAATAAGTCTCTGATGTCCCCAGAATGTGTATGTGAAGTTTCAGCTCAAAATACCCAACAGATCATTTTTTACAGCATGTTTAAATTGTCATTTTTTGGGGCTCAGAAAAACGCGCTGTTTTAGTGTGTGCCCTTTAAATGCAAATAAGCTGCTGCTGCCGGCACAGGGGGCGGAGCTTCACGAGCTCGCGCTCAGTCTCTCAGGACAATTTCATCTCGCGGATAGATGATAATATCAGAAACTCTCAGTAACGTGTTCATTTCGAGTCGGACAATAATGCCTACAGAGTCAGAGTGTGGTATAGAGATGGAACAGGTATAGTTTAGTAGTTTAATTACGGTTATTATAACGTATTTGTCATCTGCTTGTATGTATCCATTATTTATTAATAGCCTACAAGTCTGCTGTTTCGGACCAGGTCCGAATGATGATCAAACATATACTGATGAGTTTAATAAAGTTAATTGTACATCACACAAAAGATGAAGCGTCAGTTTTACTTCAGAAAATCACCGTAAGAGCTGAGTAAACACAGTAAGTTATAAGTGCGTAAGTTGAGGGAGTTGATGGAGCATTCCTGTGGGCGGACGGTATTCAAAAAACTGTTCTACTGACGTCATTAAAGAAGGAAGTAGAGGGATGTAGTCCGAACGGGCCGTTCGATGTAGGCGACTTCTGTTAAATAAAATATCTCGCTTGGCATTGAACTTTGAGCTTTATAATTTTACAGATATTATTTATACTCTAACAACAACATTACACACTAACTAAAGTTTGAAATAAGATCGGGACCTTTAAGTGTATTATAAATAAATAATTGGTTAGTCAAATACTAAATTCTTATAGTGAAAAAAAATATATATATAACTTTAAGTGTATTATAAATAAATAATTGGTTAGTCAAATACTAAATTCTTATAGTGAAAAAAAATATATATATAACTGTAAATTTTAGATGAAATGAACTGTTGGATCAATTATTTTTGTATGTTTAACTCAAACAATCAAATAAATGATATTCAGATATTTTATTAAGTTAATAAAGTTAAATATTACTGATATTTACTAAGCCACAGAATAATTACACAGAGTGTAGATAAAAAAAAACACATAAAAATGTGAGCAATAGGGAAACCCAGAAAGTGCACTGCTATAACCAATGAAACATAAGCCCTGCTGTCTTCAAATAAATAAACTTCAGTCACACTGTAATTGCTGTACAGTATAATGACACTAACTGTTGTTTCTCCAGCTTGAATTGTGGGTTCATCAGTAGATCACTGAGGTTTTTCACTCCAGAGTCTCCTAGTTTATTCCAGCTCAGGTCCAGCTCTCTCAGGTGTGACGGGTTTGATTTCAGAGCTGAAGTCAGGATGAGACTCTGTTTCTCTGTAATACTGCATCTATTCAGACTGAAGACAGAGAAATAACAATAGTTCACATCTATGAAGATCATCTTATTGAAGAGCTACAGCAGCATTTAGTTTCCAATAGTCTGTTTTAAAACCCAGTCACACTAGTTCTGTCAGTCAGTACCGTGATCCTCAACTACAAGTTCATTGGTGAATTCCTCCTCCTCGTCGCTCTCCTCCACTTCTCCCTCTCCGGCCTCCGCTAACTCCTCCTGCCTCGCTTGCGCTAACAGCTCCGCCCAGATGCGCAGGGCTCTCTTGCGTGCGCAATCTGCACCATACCGAACTGGCTTAAACAGACGATCTGACGGGTTTTAGAAGATTAAATACAACCCGAAACTAAAAAACAGACCAGGCCTCTATTTGAGACCAGCCTTTATTTATCCAAACCTGTCGCCACACCAGGCGTGTAAAAGAGACAGGCGTCTATTTGGGACTCGGCTATTATTTGAAGTTTTACGGTATGCATGGTAATTCTGAACAATGTCTCTAGGGGCACCTCATATTTTCGGTTGCAAATTGATGTTCACAGTCCCGCAGTGCTTTTGGCTGGATTTGTGCGCAAAAAAAACGTGCCAAAAGTGTAAGCGAGGAAAAATGAAAGTCAGAAGAATACAGATCCTATTTATTTTGCATAAACATGAAGCTGCAGCTGCAAAATACATGAATTACACTTACGAATACGATTAAAATGCTGCAAATGTTTTTTTCTTACAGTTGATAGGCGATTTACACTTTTACAAATCTTCTCTTGCGCATGCAAATTTAATTTACGCTTGCAATCTTAAGTACAATTTCACAAATCTTACCCTGCGCATGCGATTCTTTATGGCTTCATAATACCTTCATACACGAGCACCTATTAAATATATTTCCATAATAGTATTATTGCATAAATATATATTTGTATACTTCGAATGTGTTTGAATATTTCACCAGTATCAGCACTGGGACTTGTCACTGTATTACTCCACTTGTCTGTGTTTGCGCAACTTGCATCTGTAAGCCAGTAGGGGGCGAAACGTGACTGTCTTTATGAGTGAGCAATTACACCCAATAATTGAACTGATTAGTCCAAAAACACCTTAAATTGCACATGTGTAGATCAGGAAAATCTAAATTTCCCCCGAACCCCCCTAGCAACATCAGTTTTGGGACCTCAGTTTTTATAAAACCCTGCGTACGGCTCTGCCTTCATGTGACCATTGTCTTCTGTCTGGCTTTGTTCCCTTTTTTGTTCCTAATAATCTAATATGATTACATATCAAGTGTCTGTATAATATGTGCTCTTTTATCAATTTCCAGTGCTTGTTTTGTTTATTTTATGGATGGCTCAGCTAAACAGGCCAATATTATTCCTTTTAATTACTCTAATGTCTGATTAAAACATCTACAAATGTATAAAACTGATCAGACCCACAGACACTTGTTCAATCTCAGTAAATCTGCATGATTCATGGGTTCACAGAGATCATCTTCCCCCAGCGGTGAACCACTGCCATTTCCAAACGTTTTGAAACAGTTATGACGTAACTAATCCTCGTTTCCTGAAATCATGTGACTTTGGCAGTTTGATACACGCTCCGAACCACTGACTCAAAACAAAAGATTCGGAAAGGTTTCGTATCTTCATGAAGCGTGTTTCGAAAGCGGCCATCACTAGCGTTCAGTGGATCTTATTACAGGCAGAAACTGATCACAGACTTTTAAAATGCACTTGTTCAATTTTTACAAGTTACACCAAAATTAGACGTTCTGCCTCTACAGAAACTGAAGTTATTGACCCATGATCCAACTGTCTGTCTTAACCAAATATTTAAAGCTTGATATCAAGTTTTAATTGTGTGTTTTTAATTTGCCGTTTAATTTTATTACTTTAAATTGTTGTGGCTCTGTGTGACGCTGAGGAAAAAACTGCTCTGACTCAAACAAGTGAGGAAATATTATCATCAGCTAACATTGCAACTTAAAGTAAAGTAATATTATAAATAAATGAGCAATACTCACGTCAGTGTGTCGAGTCGACAGTGTTTATCCTGCAGTAGAGCAGCGATCTGATTCACTCGTGTGTCTCCTAGTTCATGTCCACTCAGATTCAGCTTTCTCAGGAGTAACGGGTTTTCACCCACAACTCTATTCACATACCGACAGGCTTTCTCTGCAGCAGGACTCAAAAACCTGCAGAACAGTCAGTTTAGTTCTCAAATAAATGTTGCATTACAAAAAATAATTGATATGATATATATATTTTTTGCTTTTAACATTTAAATACACAAATAAATATACATTTTAAAGAAACTAGAGCGACACTCAGTCCTAAAGCAAACTCATAAGAATAGAAACGTCTCACGAGCAGAGGGGCAAAAGCTCACTAGATCATTGTTTTCAGTGTGAATACAGAGTGTGAAATTAAGATCTTTCTGGCTTTTAACCCTCTGGGGACCAAGGTGTTTTTGGGGTCCTTGAGATGTTTTGACATGCTCTGACATTTGTGCTTTTTTCAGTTGCTTATAAACATATTAATGGCACAGGTGAAATTACACTCTATTTAGCACAAACAGGTCTACCATAATGTGTGAGCAACATGTATGTACATGTTTGTATTTTTGAGGGAATATTGTTTATGCATGGTTATTGAAAAAACTAAAAAATTAAGTTTTTGAAATAAGGACACAAAAAACATACTAAATATGTGTCCACAAGACTTTTGACTAATGTACGTTGTCGCCTAGAGTTTTTGCTTCAAAATGATCTGAAAATCATCCTTCCTAATCATTCACATAAAACAATAGATTGTTTTAAATTGTGAAAAACATTTTTTTGTTTGCCAAGGCAATGTGCGGATGGGCGGAACGGCCCAACCCCTATCATGAATAATTAAGTGGTTCTCAGACAGTGACCCTGCATAATAATGAGCCTTTCATTCAGGGGTGTCACACAAGAAAGAATGCAAGGACAATATATATATATATTGTCATTGCATTCTTTCTTGTATATATATAGCCTACATATATATATATATATATATATACACACACACACACACACTCTAGAGAGAACCGAGGTTACGTTAGTAACCGAGTATCGATCTTTCTGGCTTTTAAGCAGGAGAAGTGAGAAACGTCAGCACAGAGAAAACTGCATGTTTGTGAACATCTGGAGACTCATAGACCTGCTACAGAGAGATGCAGTGAATCTGGGCTTGATGGAAAACAACTGTGTACAGAAAACTATTTCACTAAAAGGTTATCTAGAATTTTGATGAGAAGTGTGCACACAAATAAAATTGTGCATTTCAATTATCAAGGTATACTCCAGAATAGCAGCACATACAGAAGGTACTCTACCAGAATGCTTATTACCGCCGCGCAAAAATAAGCCAGTGGCATTTCAAAGTCGTTCGCGAAATATCCCCCAGGTGGAGCAGAGGGACATTTAGCAAAACAGCAGCAATTGCCGCATTTTGAAACTAAGTGGGGCTAATGTCAATTAACAGCAAGGATGAAACACTACAACTATGGTAATTTCCAAATAAGCCTACAACAAACATGAAAAATCAAAACAAGAGCTATTGACATTTGCTGTACAATAATGAAACAAACAAAGATTTGGTGGAGTTGAAACTGCATTTTTAAGTAATAATTGTATTATTTATTAAAGAAAGACAATTTGGTTAATGTTATTTTATCAAAAGATCATACAATTTATAGTTTACATAGTATACATGTAGTATACATATAGACTTTTATTTGTACGAACAGTGAACTATTATATAACAAACGAAACAGAATAGAACAAACTTTTAGATTAAAAAAAAAATAGAATTTTTTTTAAAATAGCCTATAGGCTACAACAGATTTGGTTAAATTTAACGAAAGCAAAACGTAATTATGTAAAAGTACATTTTAAACAGATTATAACAAACTTTTAGAGCAGAACATTTTATGAATCAAAAGCTAAAATAGGCCTATCTCGCAGTCAGTGAAAATAAATGAGGTGCAATGACGCTAACAGGGGCGAGTGGGACCAAAAAATCTACCGGGCAATTTCGTAGACAACCGGCCCTCGTGGGGGGTTGATTTGTTTAAATATAATATTTTAATATCTAATTTGCTGGGTTTAAGCTGGGTTTAATAATTTGCTGGGTTTAATTTTTTTTCCTCTGTATTCTGTAGCAAATTCTGAAAAGGCATTTTTAAGCATTTGTAAGCTATAATTCATGCTGTGTACCAGGCACGTGCACAGGTAGGGCTCAACCTGTGCAGAGCACATGCCCTTTTTGCCGAAGTGCCCTTTTTTTTGGTGGTGGTGTTTTTTTTTATTTTTATAAATGAATGCTATTGGTCACCTTTTAAGTCTATCTGTATGTTTTAAAAATATTTAGCCAATGAATGATCTTAAAAAGAGCTTGTGTAAATCTTGTTCGGTCTTAAACTGTCAGTAAAGCTGATAACTCCGCCCCCTTTATCGTGACTGAATGAACTGAAGCTCTGCAGCGGCCGCACAGCAGACAGCAGCTGAACGAAGTTTTGCATGGGTAAACAATCTTGTTGTTGTTTGAATAAGTACTAAACACGTTGTCTATAAAAGCGCATATGTTATTTATTTGATGTCTGACTAAGATACGTGGGACCTGAGAGAGAGGGCTATGCTAGCATTTGCCATAGTCATAGCCAATACATAGCCTACACTTAAATAGCCTGTGCATACAGTAGCATTTCATGTTTTATAAAATGCGATTTTGACCAAATGTATTTTACAAGCGGAAAAACTGAGCGCCTATATAGCTATAACAATCTAGTTGGTAAGCTGTTGATGAAAATGTAATGATGCCGCCGGCGCCGTTCCCATCGGAGAATCATAAGCATATGTGCACGCCCGCGCTGTTCGTACTGGAACTACACAAAGCGACGAGTGATCCTCGTCACCTAGGTAACTAAGAAATGTGTTCTTTGATTTATGATTGCTGATACACTTAATTTATTAACATTTAATCATTTAACATTTAATGTTATGGTAATAATATTAAATTATGGTTAATTCAAGTCTGTTAATATGCACGTATTCGCTATCTAATTTTTGAATCTACAGTATTCTATACCTAGGCCTACTCTCCGGTCGTCCTCACATGTATAAATGTACAGTAATGTTGTAGTAGTAACTAAAAATAAATAAAAAATAAAACATTACAGAAGATCAATGTGAAATCTTTATATTTTATCATGCAGAATCTAATTCATGATTTAATTCATTCCAAGGCTTAATTTATTTGATCCAAAATAAGCAAAAACAGTAATATTGTGAAATATTTTTACAAATTAAAATTACTGTTTTCTATTTCAATATATTTTAAAATGTAATTTATTTCTGTGGTCAAAGCTGAATTTTCAGCATCTTTAGTTCAGTACTCTGCAGTGTCACATGATCCTTCAGAAATGCTTTTCACTGCAACTGTACTTTTCACACTATTTTATCATTGTTTTCATTGCTGGCTTATTTTATGGGAAGTGTAGTGAATAAGAGACCTTCAAGAGACCAACATTGGTCCTACACAGTATCAGGTTTTTGCCATCAACTGCAACTGTGGAGAGATCCTTTTCAAAAATGAGGTTAATCAAGAACCAACTCCGAAGCCTTTGCTCAGAGGAGAGACTCTCAGACCTTCTCCTCATAGCCATAGAGAGGGACATCCCAGTGGATCACAGTGAAGTCATAAACATCTTCAAGCATGGCTCACAGAAGGTTGCTGTTGTAATTAGGTTTAAAGAAGCCCTGAAACCCTGTATATCTATATTATCTATATTATTATTATTATTACGGTTATTAATAGTGAATAAATCTAAAGCTTTTGAGACTATTTTTTTTATTGAATTTTTCATGAAGATGAGACCATTTCCTCCTTTAATGTAGGCTTACTAAATAATCTTGATATAAAAAAAGGGAGGGGGGTGCCCTTTTTCAGTTTCAGCACATGCCCCTCAAAAGGTCTGTGCACGGCCCTGCTGTGTACTGTATCTTAACTTGAGAAGCCAGAACCCCTTTTACATTTAATAGAAAACATAATGAACCACTTATATTACGTAAAAATGTGGGTACATTTGCAATGCTAATAATATGCATCATTACAGTCTGTAAATAACTCTTAACAACACAATGCAATCACTAGTAAGACTTCCTGTTAATAAAGTATCTGGGAAGAATCTATTCTATATTAACAATGCATTAAATCACATTACACATTAATAAACCACAATAAATAAAACAAATTAAGTGATGTCTCATGTCTCAAGTCAAGTGAATTACGGGTCATTGGACAGGCGTCCAATCACAACTGACTTCCGGAAAAGGGGAAGTAACCAATGACATTTGAGCAGGGACGTGCACAGGGGGGTTGCTCAGGTTGCCCGGGCAACTGCTCATATGCCCTTCTCGACTCACGTTGCCCTTCCGAGAAAAAAAATAAAATAAAAAATCGTACAATGGATGCAGAATTTCACGTAGGCCTAGATAAGATAAAAAATCGCAAAGCCTCATTAACTTCCATTCGGGCACCGAAAGTGAAAGTCAGTAAGGGAAGGGCAAACAGTTTACGTGGCTGCAGCGCAAAAGAGGCTGAAAAAAGGAGATGGTTCTCAATGCAGTACATGAAATCCACGGGGAGGAGTCGGATCCAGATCCAACTCCTCCCACCTTACATATACCTAAACCTACCCATCTCCGCCCCCTGATCCCTAAACCCACCCCTAATCCTACCCATCTCCACCCCTTGGATCTTGATCCGACTCCTCCCCGTGGATCTCATGTACTGCATTGAGGTGCTACTGGAAAAAAGTGAGAGTAAGTAAAATACAATTATTTATTACGTTTGTTTTTGATAAACGACAAAGTGCAACGGTGTTTGTTTACTGAAGCTCGGAAAACATAACCGCGTCGCGTGTGTTATCATGCGTTCATATGCGCGTGCACGAAATGAAACTCGCATTTTTCAAGCAGAAATATGTGGAGACCAGACATACTGTACAATACATGCATGCACGTGAATGATGGCACTCCCAATCAAAGTACACATTATAAAACAAGACACTGATTATCTAGTCTCAGTGTAGTTAAAAACTCTAAACAACTGCACTAATTATGCAAGATAGAAAGCAATGTACTGACATTGTAATTTGACATTG